ATGTATAGTATTGGGTATTTAAGACTGGCTTTCATAATATTAGGCCAATGTCAATATGACCGGATACAAGAACAGTAGATCATTCCGAATGCATGTAAAGACCGTAAACTTGGCAACAAAACATGATGGCCATTTTCTTATGTATATAATACCTACTGTACTGTATATAGGCCTATTTCGGTTATGCTTTGCAGTTTCACACCACAACACCTCCATACCGCCATCACAACATTTTTTTTGGTACGGTATGTCATGCCTAGTTGGCTCAAGTATGTGTGAGATTGTAGATTTCACACCACAACCTTGCATTCACTCCAGCACCAGCATTTCCCTAGCCTATAGCTACCTCATTTTAGAAGTAAATTCCAGATATAGAATGCAAATTCTATTTTTCAAGCTTTCATAATTTTTATTTTTAAGGTAGGGATTTATTTCATACTAGAAAAACTGTAACATATCCAGTGAATAGATGATGCATTATATTTGTCCTCTAATCATTAGTTGTAATAACTGACCATAGAAGTGTTTGTCATATTAGTTAAGTAATACGTTTTTATCCGAATAAACATTTGAATTGTTAATGCTGCTTTGTTTGTGCTTTTATTTTTGACACAGGTGAAAATTAGCATTAATAGAATAGTGTAATGCAGTGTAATGAGTATGTGGCCAAGTGATCCATTCTTAATTCCCACCACTACCCAGTACATATTTACTACTAATTGTTGAATGTTGAACTTGTGTAGTGTTAAGGTGCTGATGTGAACCAGCTAATGTTCTGATGTGAACCTGCTAAAGTGCTGATGTGAGCCTGCATAAGGTGCTGATGTGAATCTCCAAAGGTTCTGATGTGAACCTGCACAGGTTCTAATGTGATCTTCCTAAGCACTGATGTGAACCTGCTAAGGTGCTTATGTAAACCTGTTAAGGTGCTAGTGTGAACCTGCTAAGGTGCTGATGTGAACCTTCCAAGGTGCAGATTTTAACCTGCTAAGGTCCTCATGTGAATCTGCTGAGGTGCTGATTTCAACCTGTAAGGTGTTCGTGTGAACCTGCTAAGGTGCTGAGTTGAACCTGCTAGATGCTTATTTGAACCTTATAAGGTGCTCATGTAAACCCCAAGGTACGAAAATGCACCTTTAGTGTGCTAAAATTAACCCCAATAAGGAGCTTTTCCGACCACAGTTTGCACCTTCTGTCAATCATGTCATAATTAAAGGGTACAATTTAGAACCCCAAAGGAGCATTACTGTACCATATAATGGGGTGCAAGGTTGCACCTTTATTTAGAGGTACAATTGTGTACCTTAAAAGGTGGCTGTGGTGTTGCATCGTTTTGTACCTTTTTAAGTAGATATTTGCACCTTTTTTTTTAACAGTGTATATCTAGACTTAGGCCTTGTTTTTTGGCAAGCCCGGGCACATGTACATACTACTAGCCTTCTCCATAGCCTACTGTGTATTAATTATTTCAAACACTTAATTTTTGTATTCATTGTAACACTTATACGCACCTCCTACCCCTTTCAAAATTGTCAATGGTCGCTAAGGAGTGCCCAAGTGACCTCAAAATTACATCCATTTTACTTGTTGACACCGTCCAAAAAGCTGTGAAACTTTAATTCAAAAAAGATGGCGTCCACTTGAGTTGCACTGTCATTGGAGTTGTGCATTGCCACCAATGTTTTGCACTGTGACTCAGTTTTGCACTGTGACTCTCAGTTTTGCACTGTGACTCTGTTTTGCACTTTGACTCTTAGTTTTGCGCTGCTGACTCTGTGTTTTGCACTGTGACTCTCAGTTTTGCACTGTGACTCTGTGTTTTGCACTGCTCAGTTTTGCACTGCTGACTCTGTGTTTTGCACTGCTGACACTCAGTTTTGCACTGGTGACTCTCAGTTTTGCACTGGTGACTCTCATTTTTGCGCTGCTGACTCTCAGTTTTGCACTGCTGACTCTCAGTTTTCCACTGCTACCAATTATATTTTGTCCTTTTGTCGTTCCATAGACTCTGATTTTTGCGCTGCTGACTCAGTTTTGTACTGTTGACTCTCAGTTTTGCACTGCTACCAATTGTATTTTGTCTTTTTGGCGTTCCATAACCGTGCTCATTAGGTTATTCAGTTTCCACCTTTGCGATATTCACTGTTATCTGTTCTTGGGGTGATAGTTGATGACGCAACTACATTATTATTATTGGAATTTTCATAAAGAAATATCATTTACGCATATTTCTTTATGGATCTGAACAGGTTTCTTATATTGAGCATCTCCTAGGTTGGCACGATTTATTAGTGCCAATTTCTCGAAGTAATCACGGTGCCAATTTCTCGAAGTCGGTTTTAGATATCCATGATTTTCTTTTTTCATCTTCATTATAATTACACTGTAACAGGGCTGTCCCGTGACCGTGGGTGCAGGCAGGGAGGAGGGAGGCTTTGGACACCCTCTTCCACCCCCCTGTCGTCCAACGCATGACGAGATTGGTGGCCCAAAATTATAATTTGCCTATCCAAAACGTTATTTTGGTCCCATATATTGTGATCTAAATTTAGGTAAAATTTTGGGCCATACTAAGCCATAAAAACCCTCCCCATGAATCCTACCAGGGATTTTATTTCGGGACCCTGATCGAGGCTCTAGTCGGTCCATTGGTTCTAACCCCGCTGTGGGGAATGTAGGACACGAGAACTTTATTTATTTTAGTGGGCTTTGAATCTTTCAAAGTTGGTTGAGTTGTGATTTCAAGAGGTAAGTTATTCCAGTCGAGAACAGTTCTGAGCAGGAAATTAAATCAAAATCAAAAATTCAGGTCACACAGAATGAATTAATTCTGGTTCATGTATTGAACTTGATCATTTAGGTTTTAAAACATTGAAGACAGAGTTAAGTTTCAAAGACTCTGCCGTGTTTATAACATTTTAATATTTATAGAACAACTCAATCCCACACAACCAATAAACTTGGAATATTCAGGAAATTTTAGAGTGCCCACTAAAGCGGCAGATAATTGTTGTTATAGATCAATCAAAAGATAGGAATAAACCCAAAAGAAAAGAACCCAAAACCCAAAGAAATTAAAATATACCAAAATAATGTGTCTACATGTAAAACTGTTACTAAACAACACCTTGCTACTTAGTCTCGAAGAGCTGATAATTCGTCTATATTGTATTACTGAAATGAATGTTGATTCTGAAATCCACTGATTTATGTCCATTTTAAATACCATTATTTGTCTTTTTCTCCAATCATTTTTTTTAATTGAATTTGTTTGTTGTTGCCTTTTTATTGTGGAATCCCTTACTGTAATCGATTTTTCTTCACGCAGTTCTTTTCCCCCTTTTAATATTTACTCTCGTTTTATTTTTTAGACTTCTATGACGATTTTTTTTATCTGTATTTCAAAGGTTTCTATTTATTAAAATTGTTACCATGGCATACCGCCTTTTTATTGTCTTTATTCCCTCATTCTTTTTTATTATTGAATTTGTAGGTTGTTAATATATTATTGAATCACTTTTACTGTTACCGTTCCTCTCACGCTAACTTTTACTTTTTAAAGAAAAATGTCATGGGCCATCCTTACATCATCTTTTGTTGCTATGTGTCTGTTCTGCCATGTGCGAATTTTATCTGTTTTGTAGGCCTAAATATTTTGATGATGTGAAATAAACTGAATTGAACTGAACATTCAACAAGAAAAATTGACTATAACTATTTTTTAGTTTATAAATTTATTCGATAATAACATTTTTTGTTTGTTTGTGTTAGGCTTTAAAAGAAATAACGAAATGGCAAAATACATTCTGTTGAGGTTGCAGATTATATTGCACATGGACATTTAAAATTGAAAGAAAATTAGGCACCAAAGCTAATACCAAGGAGTATAGAATTGAAAAAGGTTCGACTCTCAGGTTTTCTCTATTCTATATCTTTGCCAGGGTACCAGGTACCGTAGACAAAATAACAGCAGGAATATGTCAAATTAAAAAAAAAATGTATAGACATCCGAGTCTCTAGCTATAAAAGAATCTCCGTCACACATATCGCCCCCACCCCCACCCGCAAAAAAAAAAAAAAAATCACGGTCAAGTAGTCTAGTTGAAAATCACATAAAATCAACTTATTTTGCGAATTAGCGCCCTCAAATGATCATCGAGCTCCCCCTCCCACTTAACCTTCACGCCCCCACCCCCATTTCAAACTTCTAGATACGGCACTGTTATCTATGTCAGGTAGATTGATATATTTATGCTATATAGCATGGTTTGGAAAATATTGAGGATTTCTATTGGCAGATTATTTACATAGTATAGAGTGCGCATGCCCATTTATAGGCCTTAAATGTTTTCATTCTACGTACAAGAGATTATTTGCTGTTTTGGCTGGTACACCCTGTATTACGTCTTTCGTACTCATTTCTTTTAGCATTTCCTTCACTTCATCTGTTGTCAGATCTCTCTTATACACATCTAGATGTGTATAAGAGACAGTATATATATATAGTGCCACAGTCCACCAGTTAATCACTAATTGTTCTACCTTATCACATCACTGTTTATCTGTACATATATCATTTAGCCTTTATAGTATCATTATATCATTATTATATCATTTATTTCACCAAATTCACAATAACGAACATACAAATACAATAACACAAAAACCACTCAGCAGTACCTGGTAGGATTGCTCAAAAGAGGGCAATGCCCATCTAATATAAGATAAGATAAGATAAGATAAACTTTTATTTCACTTTTCTTTTATTTTTCTTTTATTTTTTTATGTCATGGAGCGCTCCAGAACTAACCGAGAAACATATGCAACATAAATATTAAGGTATTAAAATAATTATTTGCAGAGCACTTAAAAACTATATATAAAATATTATAATTACAATTAAAATCATTTTCTTAATAAATAAAATTTCTATTAAGACTAGAATAAAAATAACATAAAATTTAAAGAAAAAAATCTTCTTCCTTACAATATAAAATGTTAAAAAAGTTAAATATATTGCCATGTTATCTCTGTACAATAGAAATATTAAAATTACCATTTTAAAAGCACTAAAAATCGATGATTAAAAATGTTTTAAAACAATTAAAATTATTATAATTATTTTAATTAAAAATATGACTAGTTTTGGTTGAGAAAGAGCTTTACCCCTTCAATGAAAATGTTACAACTAATTGCATATCATTTTTAGTACAACGTGGCAATTCGTCGAAGAGACGTGGAAAATAATTTACGGGTGTAAACCTAAGTTCTACCAACAACATGTATAAATCTAACTTGATCATTATATCTTACGGTATGAATTAAGAGCTTTGACAAGTCAACATCAATTTTTTTTATATAAACATTTTGCACTAAACGAAATTAAAAAGAAATTTAAATCGATTTTGGAGTGAAGTCAAATTAATGTTCTTCAGACGTTGTTCAGGAGGTCATAGAACTTCGATCTCGTGAGACCTTAACACATGACTTGGTCATTCGCTGTTGCACTTTTTCAATAGTATCCACCGAGATGTTTTCATATTGATACCAGGCAGAAATTCCATATTCAAGGAATGGTCGTACTAGAGCAATGAACACTTTTTTAATAACGTATCCCTCATTTGATCTCAATACATGTCTTATGAATCCATACAATCGTTGGTCTTTGTTTGTAACTACAGACACCCGAGATCATTACAAGTGATGCCCAAGTATTTAAATGTATCAACGACGTCAATCAAGTTACCATCAATGCAGTAATTACAAGCAATTTCATGGAGAGTATGGGCCTTGTTTTGTGCATAGCTTTACATAAAAAAAAATTAAATACATTTTATTAATATTACACCATTCGACTACATTATATCCAGGTCTTTTGCAACAAAACCTCGTCTTCTGTTGATTGTATAACTCGATAAAGTAGAGTATCATCAGCATACTGTGGCATGAACGATGATACATGTGATGAAAGATCAGTCTCAAACAGGTTAAACTTGAAGAAGTGGGCCTAACACCGACCCTTGCGGAACGCCTGGTTTAACTAAAACCGGATTAGAAACACTGCCTCTAAATTTGACTGCTTGATGTCTTGTCAGAAAGGTAAGATTTAAACCAGTCAAGGTTTACATCACAAATACCATAGTTATGTAGTTTGCCAAGAAGTATGTTATGGCTGACCCTATCAAATGCATCAATGTGTGGAGGTCTGCTTGTATCAAGTACTTTAGCCCAGTGGTAAATAACAGAGCTAACTAACGTTGTACATGACTTACACTTAACAATTAATCCGTGTTGGTTGTTAGAATACATTCCATTTTCATAGAAGAACAGCCTAATACGATGCAACTATTTTCTCAAGTAATACCTACAATCGAGCATTTATAGCAATACTGGTCTATAAATCGCTATTTTACTAAGTAAGAGAACCAGATTTAGGGATAGATACTATAAATGTTTCCTTCGACTCATTAGGAAAAACTCCTGTTCTTAGAGAACAATTAAATATATCTGCTAGTGGATCAGGTATGTAGGCTGCCGCGAGTTTGGAGCATGGTTGAGGAGATTCCATCGGGTCCAGGAGATTTCCCCGTTTTGAGTTTGTTTATGAGACCGAAAACTTCAGAACTGGACATCCTAAGGTTGGTGAGGGAGAGAGGATTTATATTATTAGAGCAGTTTTTTTTTCTGAGCAAAAGTTATTAAATGAATCAACACCCTGAATAAAATTAGTTGCAAAAAAATCATTAAAGCCAGTTGCAATTGTGACAGGGTCAGTTTCTATTTTGTGATCGTACGAACATAGCCCCAGAAAGACTTAAATGATCGTCACATTTATTAGATAGTTTCCTTTGTAAGACGAATTTAGTTTCTTTACGTACTCGAGAATCGTCTCTTATTTCTTTATATTTGTACCATTTATTTATGTTTTGAGATTTAACTGCAGATTTATATAGCCTATCTTTCTTCCTACCCAATTTAATTAATTCCTTAGTAATCCATGGTTTCTTAGTTTGGCGTTTCCCTTTACGTTTGGGTATGGCGCAATCCATAATATACATGCATTTTTCCTTAAATGCACCCCATTTCAGATTTACATCAGGGCTTTCGATGCCAAGAGGTTGATGACATGTAATCAATATGTGGGTGTATATCAAGTTTTGTATAATCGTAAAAGGTACCAGCCGGTCTACACATATCTTCAATGTCGAATATTAAAAAGTATTCTCCAATGGTCACTAACCTCAATACCACCGTGTGTGTCAAGATTTGTAATAAGTTTAGTATTGCTACAATATACATGATCAATAATGGTACCAGAAATAGAAACATTTGGTATGCGTGTATACAAATCAACAAAATGTTTCATGTTAATACTTAATACAGACGTCATTTTTTTCTGTACATGCTCTATATTAACATTGGTAATAAAATTATAGTTAAAGTTAAAATGTCATGGAAGAATTATCCCTTTATACTTATGAGCATCAACCAGTATACGGTAAACGCATGTGCGGATCGGCAATAAACTCTATCAATGCACTGCCGGGTCTCTTTACGTGCATCCGACTAATATTTTATCCTTTTTGGTGGTAATACAAGTCCATAAAATGTCAATGTCCTTGAGCATATATTTGCTGAAATAGAACTCCTCCTCTGTACTCGCGATCCTTCCTGAAAACGGAATAATTATTGCTAAAAAAACCTCAGATGATGCTATTTGTGGATTCAACCAAGTCTCAGTTATTATAACCAAGTCCGAGTTGTCTCTGTGTATGAGCTTAAGCTGCGTGATAATGCTTCGAGCGTTGAAGAGTTCGACCTGTAGGCCTACTCAATGCTGATTTTTTTCAGGGAATCCCGTCGCATGCTGTTTACATTTGAGTCATTTGTTATATTGCACATGACGCAACGTCGGAGCGGTAAGTTCCTTTCTGGTGACGAACAGTAGGTAGGCTACTTACAATAGGCAGATTAGGCCTACTACTTGCCTTGGTGTTGTATACAATAACATTTGCTCAAAGATCGCATAGCCATGGAATATCTTGTTCTACTCAAAAAATTTCCAAACATGATGACTTATCCCGAGGCATAATGCATGGCAGCATTTTTGCATTTCGAACAGTTCAGGAACCTTATTTAACATCATAACTATAGATGATTATTTCCACAGATAGAGCAGTTATCACCGGTATAATGTTGTGGTTGATTTGCTAGACAACTAGGCCTGTTTCATGGTTTCTGTGTTGAAAAGGACCAGGATTACTGTCAATATCTCCTCTGTGGTATGACGTATGCGCTAGGTTTTTCACTTACAAAATTTTGAACATTGATCGTCACAGGGTGATAAAACATCTTTGGATGTATCAATACCAGATTGAACTTATATATTTTTTTCTGGAATACTTCATGTAGGTGATCATATCCAGCAATAACGAGAAGAATTAGAAATATTTTTTTTTTATTTTTGTAGAGAGATAGGCCTAGATGTTCACTCTCCAATCTCATCATGTATGCCGACTTGTTTTGGACTATTGTTTCTCAAATTGTATATTATTACCACTCAACTTTCTGAGAATGCTCATTTTATGTCAAGCACATATATATTACATAATATATATATATATATGTATGTATGTATTACATTCGAG